GGAAGAGAAAGAGGGAAAATATATATAAAAATGAGCTGTGTGGTTTTGCACCACCATTTCAGATAATGTTTGCAGGATACAGTTTAATTCTATATGAGAGTTGTGTTTGGGTTACCTTTCCCTGTGCAGTGTATTTTTGTTCATAGAATGGAAACAGAAAATGATGTCTGACTATGCTTTGGGAATGCTGTAGAGCAAAATACTGATGACAATGTTTTAAAAGAGCATAGTTGCAGTATCTGTAAGCTTTTTATGAGATGGCCTCTGCTATGTGGCAATATACCACTTCCAAAGACAAGGTTAAATATGTCAAATCCTGGAGTCATTCTATTCATCTGACCGACACAAGAAAAGGACATAAAATAAAGTTGCTTTCTTTTCATATTACCTCTCTGATTTATTTTAGACAGTTCACAGCAACTACATTAGATGTATTTGCCAAGTTTAGATACTGTGATAAAGTGCTTAACAAACAGAAAGAAAATACACAGCTTCTTGAGAAGAATAATAGATTTTACAAGGAGATATATTTTCTACACCTGTAGCACCAATTTTTTACTTAGGGGGTATAATGGGAATAGTATATCCCTGTGTATCTACAAAGAATTTGATTTTATATACCCGTTTCAGTTCAGCCAAATCTTTTTAGAGCAGAAAGAATGGTTTAATAAATATAAACTTGTCCATGAAATGAAAGCTGGATCATGTTTCTTGTTTTGTAGTTATCTGTAGGCATTCACTCAACTGTATTTCTTTAAGAAATACTGACATATAGTGTTCACAACCCCTTTCTCCTGCTCAGATCAGCTTGTTAGGCTATGAAATATTATACAAATTAACAAAAATAGAGTATGATTCTAGTTTCTTTTCAAAGGTACTGGATTTCTGATCCATATAGAGTTCTGGATATTTCTCCACGGGGCTACAATATCTGGTTATTGGTACAAATCCCACCATGCAGTAAACAAGTACTTTAACAGAAAGGAAACTCACAAGTGCCAGTGACTCCTCATTCTAGTCTAATAGGGATTGGACCATTTAGTATATTCCTTTTTAAAGCACTTCTAAAACTACAATTATCCAATGTAGCTAGGAATCAACATTAATGCACACATAAATAGCTAATCCTCAAATCCATGCTCCTTACACTGAAATGCAAATAGTATGTGGTCTTCAAGCAATCATTAATGTGAGAACATAACAGAAATGTTCAGAAAATAATAACTGTTCAAGATCTTTCAAATACTCAGTGTTGGAAGTTACCCCCTCCCTTCATTGAATGCTATGGAGAATGAAAGGTGACTCTGTTAACTTACATTCTTACAAGATATTTGCTATTACCATGTGTGATAGAACTGGAGATGAACCTAGCCAAATCCACACTGAAAATAAGACTAAATAACAACTTGATTGCTGAACCCATCTCCTGATTACACAACCATTAAAAGTTTTCTGTCAGGCAGAAAATCAGGAATATCTCTTGGTCATGTACCACTCCATCACACTGAAATAAATTATTGATTTATACTCGGCATGTGTGAAGTTAGATCTTTTTATTTCTTCACATTATTACCATATATTTTCGGCTAACATTGTTTTCTGAATAATAACTGAATCCCAGAAGAACAAGTGCACAAGTACAGTAAGTATACTTTGTAGAAGAGGACTGGCACAGTCAAGTTGGCATTTCAGATGCTCAAATATGTGTACAGCATTCCTGATTATCTGGAGCACAAGTTATCATTTTGGATCTCATTAGACATTATCTAGTCCCTAGCAAAAACACAGAGTGACAAGTTGTATTGCTATAGTGAGTTGGAAGAGGCTGATTCATTATAGAGGTGAACCTGGCTTCTGTGTTGAGGGGCTCCTTTAGATGTGATGCAGAGGTGCAGAAGGAAAGCTTGTTATTTCCACTGGCTGCCTAGCTTTCTTTTTCATGGTATGCCAGTTTCCTGCTAGCTTCGCACATAACTGATTTTTCAAGACTTTGTGTATTCAGCCTACTATAACCTGAAGCAAGAAGTGCTAAGCATCCATCCACTAATATAATTATTTTTCTAACGGCAATTAACAGGGGAAGACTTTTACACCCAATAGATTACTGTGTCTTTTGTGTTTTTACAGTATAATTTGGATCCATAAATTCTGATACATGTGATAAATTAATGCATGAGATGCATTTCCTAGCTTCATATACAGCTCAGTGTGTAAGATAACTTTTAAAAAACAATAATACTTTCTTAAAAGAGGTGAAACACAAACCAAAGGGTGGGTTGGAAAAGTCAGGATTATTGAGATGTTTGTTACTCCTTGAATCATCAGAGCTTGTAGTGATTTTCCACTTGCTCGATTCAGTTTTGGTGCAGTTTTGGCGAAAACAAAATAGTGGATATTGAAATAGGAACTTTAATTAGATGCTGACTTGGAAAAAGTTAATGCAGTTGTGCTGCTATCCAAATAATTTCTGAGCTGATCGATTATTTTGAATTAAGAACACAAAACTCTATGGAGGAAACAAGATTTTTTTAACTTATTCTAGTAGCATTGGAAGAATTGGAAAGAAAAAAATGACATCCAAGAGACAAACGACCTTTTTGCTGAATAGGTCAGCATGCTTCAAAGCTAAGATTTACCACCATCTGCAGCTTTCTCAGGTGTGGAAAGCAACAGTTCATTTCTAATTCAGCTAGTCCCAAGACATTCATATTTTCCTTTTGAATATTATATTATTTGGCATGAGTTCATCTCTCACAATTAAGAGGCACGTTTTAGTTGTTTTGAAGAAAATAGGTGTGTTTTAGCATTATGTGTTTTAATATGCATGGCAGTTTTCTGGGTTGTTGCTCATCTCAAGAAAAAGAAGTAGAGAGAAACCCCAAATTGATAAAACACATGAATGTATATACTTTAAAATGTTCTTTTAAAAAAATTTCAACCTTTGCGTGCCTGTATGAGTGACACATGGAAAGAGACATGAGCAGGATGCAAAGGAAATTTAGACATTTGCTGAATACGTGAACACTTCTATCTCTATACAAACATCATGAATCAATTTCAGACTGACTGTTTGTGAGACGAAACCCGATTAATTATCATGAAGAGATGATGCAGAAATATTTGATTCTTCAATTCATTGATATATAATACAATTAGGCATCAAGTGCTTTGTTGTGCTCCTTTGCTTTCAAAATAGTAATGACTGGTTGTTACCACAGGACAAGAAGCATTTAGGTGAACAAGTAATGGCTGTAAATATTTGTTTAGTTTTGGTGGAGGGTTTTTTTGCCATTTGTTGTTGTTGTTGCTATACTTCTGAAATCTGCTCCTAGAAATGATTTAATGTTGCTCTGGCTGTCCTGGGTTTTCAATTATTTTATCCTAACATTATTGTGGTTTAATTCTTGTGTTTTTATGCTGCACTATAGGTCACCTTGAGGGTTTTTGTAGTTGAAGGATGGGTTAATCAACTAAATAAATAAATAAATCAACTAAATAAATCTTAAACTGGTAAAAAAATGTTGTCCAAGAGTAAGTTTGGCCATGTGAAATAAATAGGAGTGATATATCATGGCTAGGTAGACATTGCTAGACAACAATGAAGATAAAAGCTTAAATTCAGATTACCACTCAACACTTGCTAATAAAGAGATTATACAACGGTTATGGGTTCAACTATGGTCAACTTTCATTAAATGTTACTTAATTAAACTTTGTAATTGTATCTAGTTCTAAGGGTGGCATGAACTTGGTGTGGATAAAATCAAAGTAGTGGTCCTTCCAGACCTACTCCTCAGCTAATTTGGGTGAAAAAACCTGGGTCCCCTGCTGAACTAATCCAGGCAACCACTAAAGAAAATGTAATGGAGAATTCTGCCTCAAAGATTTATTGAGGCCAGACACTCTCCATTTCTAGGCCATTTCCGATTGCCCTCACCTTGGTTATTTGAACCACAGGTGAGGGTTTCCGTTCCTGACCTACACCCAAAGGGGGCTGCCTTGGGTGTAAACCACAATGTAAAATCCCTTGCTGTTTTCCATTATAGCCCATTTAAAACTACAATGTCCCAATTTGTCCTCTATGAACAGTATAGGGTAGGCAAAAAAAAAAAACCTAGAACATAGGGGGGACAAATTCCTACCCGCCCCCCAAAGCAGCCAATTATTTGTACTGTAAATTGGGTAGGAGTGTGGGTCAGCTTGAAGATCCAGAATGAGCTTGAGTGGGTGGACTGCTACCCCATGTAGCTTAGTCCCCAGTAAGTAGTTCCAGCCGGAACAACTTTCTTTGATCTCTTCAGTGGAGGAGGTGAAGCACCAGCTGTGCAGGGGGACGGAAGTCAATTAATGTCAATTTAAGTAGATTCAATTAATAAAAGCTTGCTAACACTTAGATAAATTTCTTCAAGGAAATGGAGTTACCTTAGATTAGATTCATAATTGTTCATTCCCATTACATACAATGTCCTTTCTGTATAATGGCAAAATCAAAATTTGCTTTTTGGATTTTTGAAATATTTTAAAATTGTGGGTGGTTGAGTCTGGATATAGAATTCATGGACATGGAGGACCAGCTGTATTGCAGATCTATTGTCTGACATCATCAGAAGAAGTTGTGGAATTAACCCACTCCTATCCAGTTTTTCATTCACAAAATATTTCTCCTGTGCAGCAATCAGTGTTGACATTCGGTTGTTTTTGCTTTGTTATTAAAATTACTTTTCATTCCTTTTTATATATTTTTCCTGAATGGTAGAGTTCTTGAAGCATCATCCTATGGTCTTTTGAGTTTAAACTTGGCTAACAGGGTGTGATCTGCTATCTGACTCATTTCAGTAGTAATAATATTAATAATGTGATCTTCATGTCCATGCTTTTACCTTCCTAACTTCAGTAGATTACAGCAAATTGCTACTAGTTGAACACACTGAGAACCAGACAGCTGAACATTAATGTAAAATATAATTAATTAATTAATTAATATATGTGTTTTCCCCTAGACTTGTTCTAAGCTCCGTTTCTGATTACTTTGCTGCCATGTTTACAAGTGATGTTTGTGAAGCAAAGCAAGAAGAAATCAAAATGGAAGGCATTGACCCAAGTGCACTATGGGACCTTGTTCAGTTTGCCTATACAGGTACTGTAGTGTATTGTATTGCACTGTCTGTAGTGAAGACCAGTTCTTTTGTTTATTTTTATTTAATGTCAAGGACATATTATACCATTTTCAGTTTGTATAATCAGCAATAATATATATGTATATACATATTCATTTTTAAAGGGAGGAGATGTAACTCTTGGGAGAAAGTTATGGGGAAGGAGCACTGGAGAATGTATTTTACTATTGTTTAGTTTGTTTTACTTTACAGCTTGTGTTTTTATTCTTATATATTTAAAAAAACCCAGTGTATCTCCTCTGAATAAATGCTTGAAACGATAATATGGAGAAAACTGAAGCTGAATCTAGACAGGCCTATCCAGATTGATATTAAATTATGAATGTTTAATCATGACTAGTTGTTTTAATATGTATTGCTTGTCTATGTACTTTTTAACTTATGTTTTGACTAAATTATATGTTATGTATTTTAATTGATTGCATATGTTGTATTGTAATATGTTGTTGTTCCCTGTCGTGATCTATGGGGAGAGCCATGTAAAAAATAACAACAGCAACAAAACAAAAACAAAAACAACAAGCACCACTATTATCACTACTACTATTATTGGTATTTAAGAGACACATTGCAAATGCGAGTACATTATTTCATTATGCTGGTCAGTAAAAGAGACCAATATTGCCTCCATACTGTAGAACTGAGTGCTTCGTGTTTCATGTTCTCATGTTTCTCTTGTTGTTTTCAAGACAAAAAAGTTATTTGCTTCCCCAGAATACCAGACTAATGACAATCCAGAGTGAGAATGGAAAAAATATTTCCTGTTGTTTTCTTCCTGGCCAAAATTGGGTTACATTGTATCTGATTGGGAAGAATGACACATAGTCAGTTTTTGCTTGATATCCATATATCACAAATCATTTTAAGAAATTATTTTTCTATATATACATGCATTTCCAGATGTCTGTGTAATTGTTTGTGAATGATGTGTAGTAGAGTTTGAGGAGTGTCCTATGACAGGGTATGATGAAAGTAGTTGCAGCTCCATTATCCCAGCTATACCTATTCAGTGATCATCAGAAAAGTAGGCAAACGAGCAAAGTTCTCATGCTGAAAACAATATGTGATACCCCTTGTGGAAGTCTTTTTGCTAGCTTCAAGATTTGACTTTGATTCCTGTGACAACATCAGAATGTGTCCAATTATTAGTTAATATATCCTTCTATCTAGTTAGGTTCCTTGGCTTCTGACTGACATTATTGGCTTCTTGGCCTTGGGCTGTTAATGACCTATGCTTGATGTGGCTTATCACTCAATATATTAGGTTGTGACACTGGGCTTTTTAGGTACAAAATAGCATTTTTATATAAAAAAGTACTATGTAGCTTACTGAAAACAATAGATCTTGCTTTGTGTGGGGAAAAATCCACACCTTTTATACAAAAGCCATGTTTCCCGGAATTTCACATTGACTTCTTTGTGCAAAATCAGGAGGGATTTTGGGAGAATTTTATCCCCAAAAGAAGTTTTCACATGAAATGTGGTTATCTGAAAAACTTGGGAATGGTTACCCACAATTTTATTCAAAATCCACATATCTATTTCTTTGAAAGTATATTTTACATCATGGTTGAATTAATTTATTTTGTTTCTAAAACATTGCATAAATTAGTTCAAAACTGATGAAAATAGAAGCATCACAAGTGGCTAATATCTTTTGACCAAATACTGACAACAGCAACCGCATTGTCTATAGCCTCCAAAAATTCTTCCTCTGTACATGCAGAAGGACATTGCAGAAAAGCATACAGATGTGGGGTTGTCTGTTCTGCTCCACAGTCACACAAGGTGGAGTATTCTTTTAGGTAGTTCCATTTTGCCAGGTTGTCTTTTGATCTGCCCACTCCACTTCTGAGTCTGTTCAGGGACTTCCAAATTGCTCATTCTTGGTTTGTCCCTGGAGGCACACCCTCATGTGTGTGGGGAATCCAGTTGGGATTTATTGGCTTAGCTGCCCAGAGAGATACTTTTGCTGTTGGTGGGGAAATGTTAAGAGGAGTGGTGGTTCTCATGAAGCTGTTCCTGATTTGAGTCTACTATGAAGAAGCTGAAGCCATGTAGTGGGTGGCTTTCACAGTGTCCAACCTTATTTCTCTCACAGTTAGCAGCAATTTCTCGTTGCACATTGGAGGGGGGGGGGGCAATGCCAGCTAGCTTGTAGAGTTTATCAACAGGTGTAGGTTAAAGACATCCTGTGATTATTGTGCATGTTTTGTTCAATGCTATATTCAGGCAACTGCAGGCATACTTGGCTGTTGGGTAAGACAAGGCCAGGGCTGATGCTCTTATTAATTTTGGGTCTGCACCCCATGTGCTGCCAGTAAGTTTCCACAGAATGTTATTGCGTGCAGCTACTTTGTGCTTGGTGTTAATGCGGTTTAATAATAGCAAGGGACTCTAAACAACCATGTCTTTACCATGATGCAAAGAGAATAATGAGTCACTTTTAAATTGAATGAAAGCTGCTTTGAGTCTCCTTTGGGAGAGACAAATGGGGGTATAGATAAACATTAATAATAATAATAATAATAATAATAATTATTATTATTATTATTATTATTAATAAGCCTACAGTTTGTGTATTTGACTGTAAACCCATTTATATGTAAAGTTCATAATAGAATTTTAAAAACAATTCAGGCAACATAAAGCAACTCCAAAAGAATTAGCATTTTTTTTTAAAAAAAATCCCACTCTAAAGTAAAGGTCTCCCCTTGACGTTAAGCCTAGTCATGTCCAATTCTGAGGGGGTGGTGGTGCTCACCTACATTTCTAAATCAAAGAGCCGACATTGTCTGTAGACACCTCCAAGGTCACATGGCTAGCATGACTGCATGGAACGTCATTACCACACTCTAGTGGTAATAAAATCAAACCATTGTTTCTTAAAGCCCAAATGTATGAACAGCCAAGTTGTGATTTGGTGCCAAAATGAGGCCAGCAGACAGACTGGATGGGATTTAGGAGGTGGTGTTATTTATTTGTTTAGTACCATCAAATTTGCATGGCTACAGGAATATTTCTTGGACCCTATAACCAAGAAACCACCACAGCTCCCACCAAATATCCTCATATTGATCTCTCTCAGAAGAGGGACACAATATGCATAGGTAGAATTTATAATGTGAGAAGTCTGTCTATCGCATATCAGAACAGATGATATACCAACAGATGCTACAGAAATAAAATTTACTCTATTCTAACTAAACATTTGTCAACAAATAAGGAAAACACAGGAATGGGCTACAGAATGTTCAGTATACATTCCAGTATCCTAGAAAGTATTGTATTGTTGTATTATGGGCTCGGCCTCATGTAAGCCGCACCGAGTCCCTTGGGGAGATGGTAGCGGGGTATAAATAAAGCTTCTTCTTCTTCTTCTTCTTTTTCTTCTTAACCACATGACCATTGCATTAATTTTCATGCAAGAAAAGTGATGCTCCAAGTTCTACAATGAAAGCTTTTTATCATATACTAGTGGTCCCCTGCCACGCATTGCTGTGGCCCAGTCTGATTATATGGAAAATAAATTAATTAGAAAGTACTGGTTTCTAATATATGTAATGTCTTTATGTTTGTGGATAAACAGTATTTCTTGATGCTTCTTTGACAGTGTTGACGTAGGGATTGTCTGGTTTGCATACTCTGGAACACGCAACATATAATTGTCCATCTTTAGGAGTCCCTTTCAAATCTATAATACTTTATCTCTCTGTGTGTGAATCATATATATCTATCTATATCTATGGCTGGAGGGCTCTCTGTCAAGAGGGCTTTGACTATGTTTTCTTGCCCTGGTGAAGGGAGTTGGACTGGATGGCCTTAAGTATTTTCTGTTGGTCATGGGGGTTCTGTGTGGGAAGTTTTCCCCAGTCCTGTCATTTGTGGGGTTCATTCAGAATGGTCTTTGATTGTAGGTGAACTATAAATCCCAGTAACTACAACTCTCAAATGCCAAGGTCTATTTCCCCCAAACTCCATCTGTGTTCATATTTGGGCATATGGAATATTCGTGCCAAGTTTGGTCCAGATCCATAATTGTTCGAGTCCACAGTGCTCTCTGGATGTAGGTGAACTACAACTCCCAAACTCAAGGTCAATGCACACCAAACGCTGCTAGTATTTTCTGTTAGTCATGGGAGGCCTGTGTGCCAATTTTGGTTCAGTTCCATCATTGGTGGAGTTCAGAATGCTTTTTGATTATAGGTGAACTATAAATCCCAGCAACCAGGCCCGTAGCCAGGATTTCGTTATGGGGGGGTGGGCTAAAAAAATTTCAGGGGGGGGTTTGGGGGGGCTGAGTTTCGTGGGGGGGGCTGAGTCTGAGTGAAAGAGGGTCTAGCCTAGCAAACCTTTTGTATCATTACCCCAATCCCCTCATGCATATGGGATATATTGAGTATGGTGATCAGATCATGATATGAATAAACATAACAGTTTAAATAATGCACCAGTAAGGCCTTTTCGCGAACCACCATGAGAATTTCGGGGGGGGGGTGAAGCCCTTCAAGGCCACCCCCCCGGCTACATGCCTGCCAGCAACTACAACTCCCAAATGACAAAATCATATTTTTTGAGTGATGATCACTCCTTGTGTAGTGAGACATTTTGTTGCCAAATTTGGTGTGATTTCGTTCATTGGTTCTTTTGTTTTTAAGGTACTCATTATGCACAGAGCATTTTTATATATATAGATAGATGGAGCAAGTAATGGTAAATGTCCAAACTGGGTTCAGGAAAGTAAGAGGCACCAGGGATCATACTGTAGAAGTTTAATGGATCATACTGTAGAAGTTTAATGGATCGTGGCAGATATGCAATAATTTCAAAAGAAGTAGAAGTAGAATGGCTTCTAATTGGCAAAGACTCCGGCAATGCTGTGTTTTATCACCTTATCTGTCTAATTTTATGCTGAACATATCATACATAGAGCAAGATGAGACATGGAGAAAGGAGGTAT